TTTTCAGCAACTTTGCAACAAGATGAACAAGTTTTTTTCAAGAATGTAAACCTATAAGTAGAAATAGATGGGAAAGGATATCTGCTACTTTTTTAACCAGCTGGACACTTCTACAAAGTGTCACTACTGCCTCCCTGCTCCCTCTGCCCATGTCACTGCCCACCTCCACCAGTTGCTCCTTCTGCTCGGTGAGTGTGCGCGAATATTCAGCCACTGCCTCAAGGTTTCCCTCGGCCCCTGCGGCTTTCAGGGCCCGCAGAGGCAACTGCTCTCCGTGAACTTTCAGCAGGTCTGAGGCACGACCGACGGCCACTTTATGGAGCTAGAGGAGGAGAAGTGAAATTGTAGAATAAGGGTAAGAGGGAGGTACAGAGAGGAGTCGATGAGGGTGGATTTTTAGGAGGCAGAGAAAAAAAGAATTGGGGCAGAGGTGATAGTGTGACATGAGTTGACAGAGAGAAAACAGCAGCAGGTGAGCTGAGGAGTGATGCGGAAAAGAAAAGAGGGAAACCAGCTACAGGAGCAGAACAGCAAGTGAGAGACAGCCACATCAGGTATCTTATTCTTTAACGAAGTCCATGTAGAGTGGAGATGGACTGCTGCTCACCTCACGTCTGAGTTCACTGACGCTCTGGCATGTCTTCAGGATGGCCACCTCCATGTCCTCCGTGGCCTCTTTGGCGTGGACAGACTGCTGCTCCGCCGGAAAAGAAAAAAGAAGAGGGGACTAGAGCATGAGTCACACCGTGTCTTTCTAGTCACACACAGAAGCCTAGACTGTTATCTGAAAGATCAAGAAAAGGAATTAAAAAATGACTTGAATGGCAAATTAAGTCAGTCTAAATATTGTGGTTTTTCACTTTTGTGACCTGTTATTTTCTGAGAGAGTCAACATGCAATTTTGAGCAATCAAAATGAAATGATTTAAATTAGAATGGCACAACAGGCCCTTTAAATTCAAGCTGCACTAAACCGAGATCAAGATCCATTTATTATTCCCTAGGAAATCTGTGAAAATGTCAAACAAGTCCATCATCTAGCAATGTTTAAGTGAAAGACACATCCGTGGATCCACCTCTGAACTGCACCAGAATTTCAATGGCTTCTTCCCTGATCCATACAGCATCCTTCCACCAAGTTTTATGGTTTTTGTTTAATGCTGCTAACTTCACAAACACACGAATGACAAAAAAGCCAAATAGTCGGAATAAAACAAATCAAATCAAAACAAGGAATATTTGCACATGCAAATTTCTCTGCAATTTCAGAACACTGCAGCATTCTGGCCTTTTCAATTCTGCCAATGACCTTCAACTGCAAAGGCTACACGAGACAACACTCTACAATTATGTGGCAGCAGCGTCTGCTGTGTAACTGAGCACACTGGGAAAAAAATGTTTGCAAGGAGAAACTGCATCATAATGACTTGTGTTTCATAAGTCCATTAGATCTGAAGGCCAAGGAGATTCTGCTGAATGGTAACAAGACATGGAACACTATGTGATGTTTCTCTCTCAGCCAACAGAGCCTTAATAAAAAAAAACTGTTATTAAGGTGGGTTATTATGCTCTGTTGTTCAAGGAGGGATGAGTGAAGAGGAATTGAGCAGGCAAAATAAATGACTGAGGGAGCCAGAGAGGGAGGCTTAATGTGTGTGGGTGTGTTTGTATGGGTTTATGTGTGTGTGTGTGTCTTATTTCTTTGCTCTTTGGGTCTTAAGTGTGTCTTATTATTAGACTCTCCTTTCACAGGTGTCTTACAGATGAGGTACTTATAATTATCTTCATACGGTAGCATGTGCTTTTATGGAAATCCCTGTCGAGGTGTATACATCTGTGCACATGCACAACATACCGCCTCAATCCAGGCGTTCATCAGCTGCTGAGTGTCCTGGCGCGCCAGCTGGCACACGCTGAGGATGGCCTGCCGCTGCTCGTGGCTGGTGTAGGCCGAGTCTGTGAAATCCTCTGTCCGCTCCACCAACGCCTCCAGCTGGCTGCCCACGCTCTGGGGTGATGAGGAGTACAGGTTCTCCCGCAGGCACTCCACACTGGACTGCATGAGACGGGTGGGAGAGGAGGGGAGGGGAGAGGAGAAAGGAAGGAGGCGAAATGAGTGAGTGAAAGAAGGATTTAAAGGATGGGGGAAACAAACAAAAGCTTTACTCTCTAACTAATGTGCTAACAAGAGAAAGCTTAATTTACGATCTTATCATCATTAAGCACTAGACCTCATTATTAAATAACAAGTAGTGTGGAGTTGGGTGTAGCCTTAGATTCACCTTGGGCTGTCAAAGGAAGCCAGTAAAATCTGAGCCTATCAAGTAGAAACCTATAAAATGTTATGCCTTTAGCCTGTTCCTAAGTGATGGTCTCGGCTTATGTGTCCTTAGATGACAGGTTTACATGAGCTTTTCACTTATCTCTGCCAATAACTGCAATAAAGCCTTTTTTTTTTTTTAAATGGAAAAAGATATTTTTAAAAGATGTGATGCAGGTTCACTAGGTCTGATCCTTCATGTTGATTGGCTGACTCATATCTGACATTCAGACAGAGCTTGTATTAGTCTTTCTGTTATGCTACATCCACACTGCGACAGATCTGCCTGGTTTAAGTGTAGACCTGCTAAAATGGAGAAGTTTGGAATCGCTGCTGGCTCCAGTTTAGATTTGCAACTCTGGGGCTGCGTTTCAGTCTGAAACGGCAGAAATGGAGATGTCTGGAAATGATGATGTAGACACTCACAACTTCTTGCTGACTGGATCTTATAAGTAGCCTTTGCTGATTCGTCATGCTCCTATCACATAACACAACCCTAACCGGCATTGCATTAACCTCGGCTACCAGTGTGGAACGCAACATAGATAATCAATTACAAGGGTTGCTGACCCTGTTTTTTTAGCTTACAGCTATTGAACAGTTTAATTAAAAAATTTTGAACAAGCTATTACTCGTGCATGCCCAGTGTGTGTTAGTGTTCATGTGACACGCAATGTTAGGCGTGTTGGTATGTACGGGGGATCAAAACTGATACAGAGCCAAGGTGCTCGTGTGGACAAATCATTTTAGTTTTAACTTGGTTATATGGATGTAGCCCATGTCTGCTTTGTGCTCCTGTGCAGCTAATACAAGACTTGCTTAGTGTGATGCCTCGGCCACCATCAGACTGTGGCTCCATTACACAGGCCAACACGTGTCAGTCGAGCATCATACATCAGCGTCTTCACCAATTCTTGTTTCTGATCCTACCTTGAAGTCCTTGATGCCGTTGTAGATGCTGGCAGGAAGGATCTTGTTCTCCCCACAGCTCCGTGCTTCTGTGACTATCTCGATGACTTGCTCCAGGGCACAGCGCATTCGGTGGAACACTGCGTCTTTGTTGATGCGAGCCGACTCGCAATCTGGGTGCCTCAGGCAAGTCTTTGGAAGGAATTCAACATGAAATGTCAAAGCTCTTGGCCTCTTCTACTCTATTCAACTTCTATTATCTTTCATGTTTTTCAACCACCATTATTCAATACATTAATTCACTACGTTAAACACACTTGAGAAGGCCTTAAATCTTTAAGCTGGACATTAACCATCCATAACCCTTTTTCCCAGGAGTCCATTGTTTTTAAGTTCCAGCAGTTTACCTTGGAGGCTGTGAGGAGCATCATAGTGCATTTCTCCAGCACCGCTCTGGCTGCTGCCATCCGCGCTTTCTTCTTCTCATCCTTCAAGTCCTGCCGCACAAACACACACAAGTGCACACACCAGATGGTAATGGGTGGCTTTACTCCAGCTTCAGCTTCTTAGAACTCTCAGGGTGTTCGTCCGAGGGACATGAAACATCTAAAGTATTTGATAAATCTCTTTCATGCTGGTATGAAGGGACACAGATTCCTCTCAGAGAGTATACACACATTAAAGCCTTGGTTAATTGTAATCTAATCAAAAGAGAAGTTACCAGAATAGGATAGAAGATCAGTATGACTGCATCCCTCTCCCTATGTTCCCAACAGAAATAGATGGCTCAAATTAGGTAGATACAGGATTTGGAAAAGGCAGCTGAATCAACTCCTCTCCCGGCACTTCTCCATAGATTACAAAGCTGATGTGATTATCTGTCATTATTTTTGCCTGGCTTCAAAACATGAAGATGGTAGATTTACTAAAAGGGGAGCATGAGTGGGAGTGAATACAAAAACAACAAGAAAAAAAAAAAAAACAGGATGGCAAATGAGGAGAAAGAGAGCATTAGCTGCAATGTGGAGCGCTGGAAAGAGACGTGATGTGAGTGTCAAAACAGGAGCCCCGATGAAATTCAGAAGGAGGGATGGTCGATCCTCCCTCCCTGTCTAGATATCGCAGCCGCTGCACTTTACATCAGCTTCTGCAGGCAAAGCGCTTTAGCTGCAGTGGTTGGATGTGTGCATCAAAGTGGGATTAGCAGCCTCTGACAGTAAAAAGTTAGAAGACTGTTTTCCTGAAGATAGGGGCAAAAGTTTTGTTTTGCAAATTTGCTAAAAAGAGTAAGTATTGTGTAGGAAATGGGCCACCGAAAGCACAGGTTTAGCTCATATCAAAATTGAAATGTGAGGTAAACAATCTTTGAGGAACATTAGTGCCTGAGATGTTTTTTACAGTTTTTGACACATGAATTGCAAAAGCTAACAGATACAGAGAGAAGTAAGTAACTTTGCAGAAACAAGAGGAAATACCTTGTCATACCATTGTTTGATTTCTTTGGGTAAGTGTAAATATTTGATGCTTGAATTATTGATTTGTTCTGAGTTTGCTTGCACATTCATAGTGTTTCACAGTCTAATTCCACCACCTGCAGAATATCATATTCATAAAATCACTGCTTGTTAGATGAATTCCTACAAAGCGTGCTCAGTGCTGCAGAAACAAAGAGACAAATTACTGAATTTTCATAAACCACATCATATCAACCTGCAGCTTTTTGCCAAGTTAGACCACACACACACACACACACACACACACA